CTTTATTGATTCGGGTGTTAAAATGAGTGGATTTAATTATTTGAAAAAAGATTGGTTTTCAATGAACTGCATATGGTTTCATGGAGAGTTTGACGCCAACTTTAAATTTTTATTTTTATAAACATATTTATTTGGTATATTTGTTGTATATTTTTGTTTATAATAAAATAAAATAATTTACTTTTAAAAATACTCAAATTTTAAATAGGTATCTGATACTTCTTAAAATAAGTATCACTATCAAACATAATATATATATATCTCACAAGTGTCATAGAACTCTCATGTATTTACATATCCGATGCCCAAACTTTCATATTTATATATTTATCACTCAAATTTTTAATATCACATAAAAACTAGTATTATCTTTTATTTTTAAAAAGAAATATATATTTTATCATGCTTAAATTTATATCACCAAAGTGTTGTAAACATAGTAATGATAGTTTAGGTGTTAGATATATAAATACATATAATAAATGTTGTGTGCACGTAAATTTCTCATAATACAAGAGAGAGCTAAAACTTCAAGTGAGAATATTTCATGTCATCACAACAAAGTTTGTTCATGTCATCACAACAAAGTTTGTATGACAATTACATATTTACCACAATAAACTTGTTATTTGCAAATCAACCACCATGTTTCATTCATTTTCAAATCCTCACTCATTTCAGAATGATATTTTTATATTTTTATTATTTTCAATCGTGACACTCATAAATACATCAATTTGATAACTAAAAAATATGATGATTAATCTATAAATAACAATGTTTTGGATGGCCTGCAATGACATAAATGACCACAACAAACTTGCTAATTACAATCAATCGACTACCCTCTTTCTTTTGTTTTTGTATTTCTCAATATGATAAGTAAAAAAACCATACTTCTCACCATATATATATATATATAGAAATGAAAGGGGGAAAGAACGCCGGAGCTATCTCTCGCCGCCAAACCAAAAACTTTCCGGCGATCCTCCTCCGTCGTCGCCACCTTCCCTCCATTTTGCGTCGTTGCAGCCATTATTAAACCCTGCTTCAGTTCTTCTTCTTCCCTCTGTTCCTCCTTCCAACTCCTTTATATAGGAGGAGCGTCCCCTAATCTAACTTCCATTAATCATAAATTTCTTAATTATAAATATAGCACTCTATTTAAGTTATTTTTAAAATTATCACTGTAATGTCAACAGTCACGAACAAATTTCAAATAGAAATGTTTTCAAGAGCTACGTATCTAATTTTGGCTGACGCATGGCCTCCGGGAATAAAGGAGAAGGGAAAAAACTACTAAATACTAAATATGAGCATGATACGTCATCCCTGACGTGTGATTGCGCGCAGATGAAGTGAATTGATGGAAGTTTGCTGATATGATTTTCGGAGTTTGACTTTGATCGTGGAGAGAAAATGTTCTATTTAAGTTTCTCCACCTCTTTTTTTTTTTTTTTTTTTTTGTTTCTTTTTTTTATTACTTGTTTATTGTATAAGAATTTTAGTTATTGAATCATATAACAAAATATTGGATGAAAAAGTAATAAAAATTGATTATAGCTATAAAAATACATCGTAAATACTTGTAACACCCCTATTAAAATATAAACAAGCATGTCCTTGAGACTTGGACCATCATTCTCGTATAATTAGGGAGCTCTTCACTCTTGACTTTTCTCATATAGAAAGAGCTTGGGGATGGCCCAGTTCATTATTTATAATATATTAAATGGGTTGAGGAGCTCGGGGATGCCCCGGTTCGCCTTACAAAGCAAGTCTATGCTTGTAATTTTATTTATTTTTCTATTATCTGTCTATTTTTTTCTCACTCAATTTCTCTATCACTCAGATCCTTAAGCATGCCTCACAAAACAAATTTGAATTAAACATCCTAAAATGAACAGTGAGTGTGAAGCATGCTACCAATAATAAGGGAAGCAACATCAACGAGAAGAAATACAACTCAGAGACACAACTAGCAGGGAGCGCGTTAATGAGTTAATGCAATAACAAATCTAAAACCAGAAACACTGTTTACGTCGTCTTCTTAGAATCTTTGGCTAAGAAGCGCGTACCACAAAACGAATGACCGATTGTCTGACTCCCAATAGTTGAAACAAAACGACCGAGCATGGACCACCGACTGTGACTGCGCGTTGCTCAACCAATTCTGAGTGGCAAACACATCATCCAACAAAAAAAAATGGAGTGTTACTTCACAACTTATCTAGTGTTATGACACAAATTTCTCTAATGTTGTGTCTGGTTTAACTGACACTCAGGAAACTCGGTTCCGAGTGAGAGATCAAGAGGTTAACAAGAAAAGATTCTTCTCTAGGGCAAGCAAACAAAAATTCCCCTCCGAAGCGAGTAAAAAAAAAATTCTCTATGATACGAGCAACTAAAAGACTCCCCTCTATGACAAACAAACAAAAAACTCCCCTTTGGGTAGAGTAACAAAAAATCCCCTCCACGGCGAGCAAAAAAAAAAAAAAAAAAAAAAAAAAAAAAAAAAAAAGAACGCCCCCTTGGTGGGGCTCCTTTGTTGGATGAGCAAAAAAAAAATCTCATTCACTCTAGCAAAAAAAAAATCCCCTCCAAGGGTAACAAACAGAAAACATCCCTCCGATGCAAACAAAAAAAAAATCCACTCTATGGCGAGAAAACAAAAAATTCTTTTACGAGGGTGAGCAAACAAAAAACTTTGGGATGAGCGAGCAAACGACGGTCCAACCTAGGAAATGGGATGTAAGAAGACTAAGACTCAAGCTAGATGATATCACGACCAATGATTTTCTTAGGAGTTGGGTCTCCAATCAACACAGGAAACCAAATCAAAGCAGGTGAATACCTTAACACAACATGGACCAATGAATCAATTCGGAGAAAATTCTTCTGAGATGGCGAGATAGCTCAAAAGATGAGAGAAGGGAGCGCATTGCGCTCCGTTCCTAAATAGAGAGTATTATCAGTGATTTATGTAATCATGTTTTTTTTTTTTTCACTTCGAAAATTTTCTTGTTTTTATCACACCAACCACTATGAAGGAACAAGAAAATAGAATAATTGAATATGTACACTCAAAAACAGTCTGCACGAATATTGAGACAATCTAACCATCAAGATAAAAAAATAGAGAACAAAAAGGTGTCAAAAATTGATTATGAATATAAAACTCACATAAAGACAGGTAACTCATCTATTAAAAGTAAGGACCATAAAAAAATATTATAAAGATATGTAACTCCCATATTAAAATGAGGATCATAGAAATGCACCATAAATATCTCTAACACACCTATTAAAGTATGGACAAGTATATAATTTTAGACTTGGTCCCTCATTATTCTATAAGTAGGGAGCCCATAGCATGTAAAAAGAGGAGCTCTTCTCTCTTGACTTTTCTCATGTGTGGAGAACTCTTCCCCCTTCTCAATATAACCGTTATTTTTTATATAAAGGGTGGGTCAAAAAGCCCATGAATATCTCAGTTTGCTCCAACGAGGCAAGTCTATCAATGTTAATTTATTTCTTTTCTTTTCTTTGTCTCTTTCTTTTTCTCCATCAAGGTCCCTACCTCTTCGATGATTGGGAATATCTCATAAGACAAATTTGGGTTCAAAAATATGCGCGCGTGTGTGTGTATCTATCTCTGTGTGTAATTATAACTTTTAGTACGATCTTAAATTTTAAAATTTATAAAATTGTTAATAAGAAAATAAAATTATAACAAATGGAGAGAACTATTTCTTTTTCTACATGGATGAGATGGTGATTCGGTGATTCGACATTTTCTCCTGCATTGGAAGGTCGTATGCTCGAAGGACAACAACCCAAATCTCTCTCTCTCTCTCTCTCCCCCCCCCCTGATTATTTCTCTCTCTATATCATATTATTTCTCTTCTTAGAAGAACTGTCTCCAAACCAAAAATTGTCTCTACAATCTTCAACTTCAAATAAGAAATATTCCATTCCTTTTAATATAATTAGAATTAATATGATATCTTATTTATGAAAATAAAATCATTTTATCATTAAGTAAATGAAAAAAAAAATTTGTTTTCAATAGATAACTCTAATAGCATGAAAATATAATTTGATTTCTAATGACATATTTTCAAATGGATTGCATAAGGCAAAGTATGACATTTTATAATGATACTTTGCATGCTCTAAATTTTTTAATTAGTGAAATATATTAAAAAAAAAATTTAATTGATTATTATAAAAGTTAAAATTAGCTTCCCATATAATTCTTCAATTATAGATCACATTTTAAGTCTACAATCATGAGTTTGAAGACAATAATTGAGAATAGAAGCAAAATTAAACATGACAATTGGCCGGTCCAAGGAAAATGACATTTTTTTTAAGATTGAAATTGCCATTTTTAAGGGGCATTTACATATATAACCCCCAATTCTTATGTACATACATATCTAAAACCTAAATTTTAATTTTTTATTTTATTTTTATACCATCCAAATCATTCATATTACGTGAATACCATCACTATTTTAACTTTAAAAAAGTGAAATACAGCCTTTTCTTATGCATATGTTAGACGTTGAGGAGTTAGAATGTAAATGCATAGGATTTGTGTGATATGTGATCCCTATTTTAACTTTTAAAAAGTGAAATACAGCATTTTCTTATGCATATGTTAGACGTTGAGGTGTTAGAATGTAAATGCATAGGATTTGTGTGATATGTATATAAATCGTCATTTTTTCTACACTAATTGAGACTAGTTGTAGATAGGGTTGTACACGAACCAGTACACTTGACGAGCGACTCAAGCTATACTCGATTAATTTTAGATCATGCTTGCTCAGATGATGGTCCTGATGTGGTCATGTTGTCATGTATTGCACAACGGCCCATCTGGACCGTCATCTAGACATACGATCATCACACATATTATTTTCTCCAATTAAAAATTGAGTTGTGGGTAGAATTTTATGTACTTATAATATCACTTTACTGAATTATAATTTTATAATTCAAACAGAGGCTGGTCTCAATTAACCAGAAATGACCACCCAGTTAGTTAATTGGTCCGATTTTGATGAAATACCAGGTTATAATATTAACAAAATTTGGCATTTCAGTTCAGATTAAATTACTATAAATAAAATATTTTAATTTAAAATAATAAAATAATAAAAATATCATAATGCAAAAATATGATTTAGAATCAAATTTAAAATTTTAAACAGTTCAAAGTTGAATTCATAAAAAATATTATTATTGCATCCTTTAAATCAAATTAATAATTTTAACCGATATTTTGTCACACGACGAACCTCTACTAGCTCTATGATCAAACATATATAGAAGAGGATATCAAATCATGGGCCATCAGTACGAAGTCTATCCACGATCTCCCGATGAAAAGACGACGGTTTGGATGTCATGTGATGGCTCATAAATGGTCATGAGCGTACGCCAACCATTCGACGTTGATCCTTTGTCAATCCCGAGGACCACCATCTGGACGAACAAAGTGGATTGGTTTAAGGAGCACGTCTTGACTCCTATGAAAGCCACATGTGGGGATTTCACAATTGAAGTTGTATTGGTAAGTCCAGGGCAGACCTAGGTTGGGTCCAGGGGGCTAACTGCGCTTATGTTGCCCTTATCACTTCAGCTCTTCCACAAACTGACAACAAAATCCAAGCGGAGCACAAAGGCAATGTGGCGGTTAGGAAGATGGAAATTAGGATGAAGGATGTAAGCGTTTACGGAAAAGAGGAGATCACGGCCATGGAGACGACTGACAGTGTGGTGTAAGCGCTTAGGGAAAGGAAAGGAGGAGATCACGGCCATGGAGACGACTGACAGTGTGGTGTGGTGATGAGATTTATGGAGGAGGCGCGGACGACTTACTTGCGTCAGTTACGTGATTAATTGTGAATTACTTACACCATCAAACCAAGCTCTCGTTTGATGGGATTAATAGATTTAATACTCACTTAAAGAATGAATGACTACTACATCAGTATATCTAATGAATCTATTGTTAAATTTCTTTTCTCCTAGTGTTAATAATGCATGGGAAAGAATTGGGAAATGGTCATTAAGATAAAAAAGGAAGATTTACTTACATACCACTCAATTCAAATGTATTTACATATCTAACACCTATACTTCAATTTTTACTTACATACCACCTTATTCATATATGGAATGGTGTATTTCATATTTTAAGAATTAAAAATATTGTTATTTTTTATGTGATATGAAAAATTTCAGTGATATAAATGTGATAGATATGTAAATACATAAAATTTGGGTGATATGAAATGTATTATCATTTCGTAGCCATAATGATTCATCTGAATAAATTAATCAATAAATTTTTTTGAAACTATTTCATTTTCTTATGAATCATAATGAAGAAGTGAAAAAAGTTTACCCCTCCTAAAAAAATATGTTCGTTCCACCCTTGGGTATGTCATTCCGACATGTCATCTCAATCAGACAATCTATCATTCAGTCTTTGTGGACCCATTGGTTAAGAGAATTTGTGGCCCACGCCTGGCAATGTAGATTGAATCATTCAATCCTTTAATGATCTGTTAGTTGTAGAGTCGGTCAGCAGAGTCCATTTTCGGCAATCCTTTAATGATCCGTTAGTTGTAGAGTCGGTCAGCAGAGTCCATTTTCGCTATCGCTAGCCCACGATAGCCAATTATTTATGTACATTCAATTTCCCAATTCTCTGGTTCCTTCGATAAGAAATTGTAAGAGACTGAGAGAATGAAAGATATCAATATTTCATACAGTCAAATCTTCACATACTCTTGTATGGGCACAAAATTGATAGGATGCTTGATAATTCTCTGCAAGTTCTTAGCGTCCTCAAAAGAAAGCCTTTATTGAGTTCAGACTTTTTCAGAGCCTGTAGGTTGTAGCTCTCACACAGGGAGTGGTCTTTCGACTTACTGTTGGGCTTGGATTGTCATTCTCTTGGAGGCCATAATAACTCTTCGACAAGGAGTATTTACTCGAGCCTCGGAGCAAGTGTAAGCCTGCTCTTCACCTACGAGCTTTGGCTCTCCCATAGAAGGCAGTCACATGAACTAACAATTTTTATAGGTATTATCCTCCTTGCCCAATTTAGATATTAACAGGCATGATAAGATGTCATTACAAAAAATGGTCTTTAAGAACTAAATTAATAAATAGAAATAAAATGAACGATATTTAATAACTTTCTTGTATCGGTAATGTTGTCGGCATTGCACTTCTATTGCAGTTTCTTTCCGCCAGAGAATAACTATTTGTTCACATGCGCAAACATTTTTATTTCCTTATTTGTCTTGTAAGAGCATCTTGTAGAGGTTGTTGACTCCTTCATAGTAATTTTTGTTCGAAGAAAGTTTTTGTCATCATCGTCGATTTAAAGTTTCTTCAATTTTCTAATTTATCGTGATGTACAAACTCACTTTCAAGTGGAAAAAGGCTCCAGAGGAGAAAGTATTAGAGGTTGTTCTTCATAAAAATAGAGAGAAACTGATCCAAAGAGGAAGGGGTATGAGTGGAAAGTAAAAGAGACGCTCTTATAGTTTATCAGTTATGCTTCAACCAGAAATCATCAAATAAGTCAAAAAATCACTAATTGTCCATATAAGAGCAACTTTTTATTTTATAGTGATATCATACATCAGCACATATGTTTCCCATAATATTTGAAGCTCGTCAATCAGATGTTGTATGTAGGCCTCAATTTTTTTTCTTTGGGCTATGTGGACTTGATATGGTAAATATCAGAAATAAGAACGACGTAGTCATGCACACATCAGGGAATAAATTATATGATGTAATAATCACTGGTCAGCATGGGTAATATTTCGTGGCGTGCCTGTACGAGGTGAACTCATCTCCAAATAAACTAATCATAACAATGTGTGGTTCAACAACAAAGCCCAGTAAAAATGTCTTCATGCTTAACCACGTGACGGGTGAGTCATAGAATTAACATCAAGAGTTTCAGCATTGTGTCATGTAATATGAGAAGCTGTAAACATAAAATCAAACTGTCTGTGTGAGTGAAAAGTAAAAGAGCACTTATATGGAATAGTTTTTTTAATTTTTTCTCTTTCACCCTCTTTGTTTGAGGAATGTCGGTCAAGCTTGGTGGAGCAAGATCATCGTGGAAGCGCTAGAGCAAACAAAGTCGAAGGAAGAAGGAAGAAATGAGTTGTCGGGCGAGACCTGTATTTTAGGACATTTGCGCTGAATTTCTATTACATTTGCGCTGAATTTCTATTGGATTTGCATCAGCTAAAGGTCGACACTATTAAGTGAATTTGTTGCATTGGTCAATCTGACGCAATGTCAACGCAAATCTCATCACCTAACTAACGTGTATGTTTGCTTCAAGTCTGGTGCTAATACTCTCATCGAAAATTAAAAACTTTTCTGTAGTGTATAAAAATTATAATTAAAAATTTATTCAAATATTAGCTTGTTTTTATTTATAAAATTATTTGTTAATGACTTCATATGAAAAGTCAATGTTCTTTAAAATAATTATCGGTTTTAATAGTTTATTAAAATATTCATTCAATTAATATAAATATATTAAATGTTAATTAAATATAATCATTAAAAATAAAAAAAATCAAATAAAAATAAATATGTAAAAATTTGGCTCGAGCTAGAGACGAAAATCAAGCCAAGTCCATTACTCGGCCTATTAGAGACTGATCGGTGATGCGTGTTGCCGATCTTATTTCCCTTTTATCCACTCTTTCTCTCTCCGAATCAGGCCGAGGTGAAGGGAATTAAATCCAAAACCAGCAACCACCCCTGGTATTCTTCACAAATTAATCGGAAAACCTGGAGCTGGTAGTTGGATTCTTGAGTTTTCCGCCCTCATCTGCGATCTTATAAAGTGTGTTTCAACTGTTTCTTCCCTCGATTTCACCCAGAAACCGTTCAGTAAATCTAAGGATAGCTCGATCAGAGACGAATGGAATCAAGGCGCTAAGAATCTGCAGTACTTTGCATCGATCTTCCTTCTCGAGACTCATTATGAGGTATTTTCTCTATCTCTGACTCGTTATCAGTTTTCCCTCGAGCTTTAAGGTGAATGTTGTTCCTTCTTGATCTGCGAGTTTTTGTTTCCACTGCCAATCTATATTGATTTCCCTGTTACTTTTTGTTACAGATTAGTGTTGCCTCTCATTTGCTTTTTTCTTGATGGACAAGTAACATGCCCTAGTCCAAGCGGACAAAGAATAGTTTGCTCTGCTAAACTGAAGTTGATTTGTCATTATGTATTAATGTGTGTGTAAACATAAGAATGTGTCTGCATGAAATTCAAACTAGATGGGTCTAGAGCAGCGACTGAGAAAATAGCATACCGAACGGTCGATAGAAGATGTCGAAAGGAAGCCCCTCAAGATGTTCATCGGCCTTTAACAATCGATGGGGAGCACTCGAACAAAAAACTGTTAGCCGATCGTCAATTTTTATCGATCGAATAGGTGCCGGGCTTTATTATATATATGCAAATAATCTTGTAAATTACCAATACCCATCTGAAATGTTAACCTATAAATAGGCTCTGTATTATGGATAAATGACACCTTTTGCTTATCCACTACTGCTCCTTCACTCCTTCATTGCCTCATAATAGAATGTTTCATTCATTGGGCGTGTTTTCCGGACAATCTCAGATTCAACATCCTTTAAGGTGCGATGAGCGTGGAAACATTCATTCAACAAGAAGAGTAACCCAACAACACCACTAAGGAGAGTCTAGCCAGGGGAAAGAAGGGGAAGTAGCATTTACCCGAGAGTTCACGAAAGAATTTGTTAGCAAGGGTCGCAAGACTTAAGAACCAAGATCACCAACCAGATGTCGGGACAGTTCCCTAAGGTCCTTAGGGCGATCACTGCTCTAGCAGCCCGTCTAGTTTCAGTTGGAGAGCCAGCACGGCTAGGAACACATAACCATCATCAAGGAGAACTATCGATCAATAATGGAAAAAGGGGATCCACCCGCAAGAAAAGCCTGATGACGGACTGTACCAGAATAGCGTCAGATTCACCCCTTTAGGGAAAGAAACCGACTAATGCGGACTGAGGGACAGAAAAGTGGAAAAGGAAAATGGACGGGAGCTCTAAAAGGCAAAGTATAGGACCCTTACGTGTATATAAATATATATACACACACACACACAGACACAGACCACACACACACACACACCCGCACACACCCGCACACACACACACACCACACACACACATAAACTAGCGAGTTACCTAAGAAGTCGAAATGCCCTCGACGCAACTGATAGACGGGATTACACGTCAAGTAATCATGACGAAAATTTGAAAAATATTTTATTTTATTTTATTTCATATTTTTTTTGAATAAAAGAGGGGGGATGTCATGCCAAAAACCTCGGCTACATTTGCGTAAGGAAAAATCGGACTGGACGGTTATTCTCGGTTTCGCTCGAGACAAAACCTCAATGGCGAAGCCGTTCGAACATGAACTCACTGCCCAACCTAAAAAGGTCATTCTGACTATCCCTAAGCTGAACGGCGAGGGTCTCTCTAACGACCAATAGTTCCGAGCATAAGTGGGTAACATCCCATCTGCTAGCAAGCATCTACCCCCGGAAGTCCGCAAGCTTCTCGCTCAAACTTACAATTTCTCTCTCCACTTGCTTGACCCTCTTAGGGGCCTCGAGAACCCTTCCGTCACCTTCTCTTTGGGGGTTTTCCATGAAGCGGAGGAAGCATTCCTCCATCTCGGCGAGGCGGCAGAGTATGAAGTTCGACGACACACGACGCCCTCGCAACTCCACGGAGGGCCAGATGGTTGTTGCCTTGAGCTCCAACACTCGGACCTTTGGCATCCCGCTCGACATCTTGCTCCGACACACTAAGCCCCGCCATGTCTCCTCTTGCAACGACCTGTGTCGCACTCGACCCCTGGATCACAACTTGGTTCGTCGCCGCCACATCATCTTCGACACCCACGTCAATATCTGTCGATAAAGAATTGACAATCAAGACATCGGTCGAGTGTCCCACTAGAGGGTCCTCCAAACGACCTCTTACTTGTCCTACCTCTTCTGATGACGACCCGCTAGAAGACCAAAAGAAATAGACTGTGTCTCGCGATTGTCAGCTTCGTGTTTTGACACGACTCTCTTTCTGCTCACTCCTTCCACAGATGCCTCACCCAACTGCTTTCGCTTCACATCTAACTTACGAGTTTGCACCCACATGTCACTCATTGCCTTGAGGAGCATGCTTTTGTCGGTAGGTGGGATTCATTCGCCAGACATCATGAAAAACAAGTAAAGAGGAAGGCATGGGACAAAGGAATCTAAAGGAACTGAAGTGGTGTAGGCTTCCCTTGCCCCAAAGCTTATTTATAATGGTCTGAGCCCAGAAATCCAGGGAAATCCATAATTGCGCAACAATATCGTTTATTTATTTATTCATTCATATACGTTATCAAAAAAATTCTATTGTCATCACGCGCTAGACAACTTCTTAGGAGCAAGAGAATCGGAGAATTAAGTATGTACACATAAGAATGTTTCTGCACGAATCTCAAAGCAGATGGTGACCTGAGAAGGAAGTACGACCGATCGGGCATAAAATAGACGATTGTTTCTAGATGAGCGGAGATAGAGAAAATACATTACTGAACAATCGATGGAAGATGTCAAAAGGAAGCCCTCAAGACGGTCATCAACCTTCAGAATGATCGATGGGGAGCATTCATTCGGACCATGAATCGATCGAACCACGACTTGTCAGACGATTGGCAATCCTTATAGATCAAATAGGTATCGAGATTGATTATATGCAAATAATCTTATAAATTACCAAAAAACGCTCCTGAAAGGTTAACGGTTAGGGAGCTAGTATTTATTTTTGTAATATTGAGACCTAGTTCTATAAATAAGGGTCCATATTATGGATAAAGGACACGTTTTGCTTGTCTACTACTTCTCCTTCTCTCTCTCTCTCTCTCTCTCTCTCTCTCTCTCTCTTAATTGTCACTTAATAGAACATTGTATTCCTTAGGCGTGTTTCCCGGACAATCTCAGATTCAACTGTGTGTATTCAAGTTCCACTTATTGGTAGTAACTTTATGATGTTTTTTAGCATATACAGACTGTTTTTTTGCAGATTCTATAAATTCAGATTTAGTAAATTTTGGTAGGATTAACACTTGCTATATCTTGATGAATTGTTTGACTGTTTGTTTTATTATTTAAGCTTTTTGTGATGGGTAAATCTTTAAATCCGTTAATCCCGTGAGGGGTGAAAATTAATAAATTTTGGATTCAATGGGGACGGAAATAAGAAATTTAAAACGATTTTGGAGCTGATTGGCTATAAATTGTATTTATTAAATTTTGTAAATCCAAATTTAGTAAATCTTCAGATGATTTAAACTCTAAGATCATTTGAAATGTTAACCATCAAATCTTGTTAAATCTAGATAAATTGTTTGGTTGCTTATTTCAAGATTTAAGATTTGTTTGAGGGATAATCCTTAAATCCTTTTGAGTGCAATGAATAGTGAGAGTAAATCTTGAATTTAATCAATAATGGCGTTGAAATTAGATTTATCAAAACCATAGGATTTAAAGTTACAAGAATTCTTGGTGGGATTTAAGCCTAGTCTTGTTTAATTCTTACCTAAAATAGGATACCAAACATCCCCTTAGAGGCAGCTTGGCAATGTATTTAAGATGGGATTTAACTTGGATTTAGCTTAAATCCTGCTAAATAGTGAAAATGACACTTTTAGAGGTTGTTTGGTAACTTCTGAGATTCAACTGAAGTGGATTTAATAAATCTTATAATCTGTATTTAGTAAGTTCTAAAGTGGTTAAATCTTAGAAATTGTTTGACAAGAGCCTTGATAAATCCAATTAAATATTGTAAAACTGTTTGATAACTTTTTCCACTTTTAAATTTATTTCTTTAGTTTTGTTCAATTTATTTTTATTTGTAATTACATAAAAACTGATTAATAGTTTTTAAAGTTAATTTATTATTAAGCATAATATTATTAAACTAATTTCTAAATAACCAGTAATTTACTATAGAAGACATACCAGGATTGCAGAGCAATTAACAACAAAAAAACCAGAAAAAAGTATCACATTAACAGATATTCGAAAGGATGTGTCAAATGTGTTTTTTTATTCGCTTGATTGAGGATGTTGGTGGCAACTCCATAGGAGTCTTCTCCAGCTCATAGATTCATTGCTTATGATTCATGATCTCATCATTGTTGAAACCCGCCACACTGCATCTCTCATGCAGCATATAATCACTTTAGGATTTACTAAATCCATTTAATTAATTCTCATAACTTGCCAAACAACCCCTTAATGTTTCCAATATTCTATACTTTAGGATATAAATTAAATTTTGCTCAACTCCTGCCTAAAATTGGATACCAAACAGCCCCTTATTGTAAAAAATTATATAACTTCTTGTTTACATAACTTCATTCTAATTAGCAGTTGATGGCACCAGCTGGTGGCAAAGCTTATTTTTAGATTTGCTGGCACTTTAATTCAGGTTTTGCAAATCTGATGTCGAAAACTTCGAAGTTTAATCTGATTTCGATCGGCTAAACAAGCGCTTGAAGACTTTGGTAGTCAAAATTCCTTTGTTACTCGAGATCCAGATATCGTAAAAGGACCAATGTCTCTCTTGCCGAAGTTACGCTGCATTACTATAGATGTCACGGGTACTTTAATAGCATACAAAGGGGAGCTTGGAGATTACTACTGCATGGCAGCTAAAGCCGTAGGTTTGCCATGCCCTGACTATGGACGGATGCACGAGGGCTTTAAGATAGCATACACAAACATGGCCAAACTTCATCCTTGTTTTGGGCATACAACAAAAATGCCTAATGTTGATTGGTGGAGGGCATGCGTGAAGGATTCCTTTAATAAGGTATGCATAACAGACTATGACTTAATACTATGTGTTCAAGTGATGTTATTTGTTTCATGTCTTCATTTATTCACAATTCCTTATTGTTTCTCTTTTTGTTTTTCACATTTTTCTTGTTCCTTTTTTTAGGAGGGTTTTTCTGCTGATTTTCGTAGAGAGATTTGGCGCTTTTGCAAATCTTCATATTGCCATTTATTGATTTGATTAATTCGTGTACTTATTTGGCGCTTTAGTAGTTGATCTAAAACATAGGAATCTAAATATTTGCTTTTCTTCTTTTTGTGATATTTTTATGATTAATTATTAGTGACAAGGGAAATACACATTTTTGTGCATAGGTTTAAAGCGCAAAAAAAGCTTTTTATGTAAATGTGAAAATTAATTTAGGTGTGAGATATGTAAATACTTAAGAAGTGTGTGCTAAGCATCTAAATTTCCCAATTTCTATATATTGTTTGCATGCATACGTTCTCATCTATTTACTTATTTATTAAAAGATGTGCTTTACTTTTTAAAAAGTTAAAATAATGTTATTTTTGATGTGAGAGGAAATATTTAGCTAATAGAACTGTAAAAAATGTGAAGGTAAGGTGTTGGATATGTAAATATATAGGAATTGAACGTTATTTTATGTAAATGCCATTTCATCATCTTCTCTGACAAGTATTGCATCTGCTGCGGACATTGCAGGCTGGTTATGATTACGATGATGAGACATTCGAGAAGGTATTCAGGCGCATATACTCAACTTTTGGTTCTTCAGCTCCTTACAGCGTGTTTCCAGATTCTCAGCCATTCATGAGATGGGCGCGTAAGAATGGCCTCATTGTCGGCGTTGTTAGTAATGCCGAGTACAGATATCAGGATGTCGTTCTTCCAGCCTTGGGTTTGAATAAGGTATGTCCTTAATGCTAGCATAGTATTAATTGAATTTAATCAGGAATTTAATTTAAATTTAATCAAATATATATATAAAAAAAGAAAAATTAAATCCAACCCTCTCTGTTAAATTAAATTTTATCGTGTTTCATCTCTTTTACAATGTAAACCGAATTTACTAAATCTAATTGCGAGATGAATTTATTACATCTTCGCTCGCTAGCTTCTCTATCTCACACTAGATTTGATAAATCTTATTTAACATAAATTTAAGTTGCTGACAAATACCACCTTAGTGCTTTTAGTGTATTGCATTTCAAATGCCCTGGCTTTAAATTTGAAAGATTTGCATACATGCCACTCTGTTCCTATGCATTTACGAACCTAAACTTCAAGTTTTAAGTATATACATACCAACTTTGCTGTACATGGAAGATTGTATTTTACTTTTAAAAAGTTAAAATGATAGTATTTTTAATGTGATATGAAATATTTGGATGGTTTAGATGCAAAAATGTAAAATTCTTATGTATTTACAAATCTAATACCTATAATTTTCTATTTACATTTATCACCCAAATGTTTCATACCACTTAAAAAATGCCACTTTTTAAATTTTATAAAACGAAATTTGCATTTTCATGCATTAGAAAGGTAGCATGCATGTAAAAATTGATATTTAGGCGTTAGATAATCTGTAAATACATATGAATTGATTGGCATGTTGGTAAATCTTCCAAAGGAATTTGTTGAGTTCTTGTTACGATGGTGCAATCAATTATGATTATTTCAAATACTTTTCATTATTTACCTTATACTGCATTTAAAATACATCTAAATATTTAGGGAAATTTGCATATCAACTTCACGATTCCTTCTTATTTACATATCTAACACCTAAGGCTTGCCATTTGCATTTATAACATTTTGGTGTGATGAACCTCGTTTTTAAAAAGTTAATGGTAGTGGTATTTTTGATATGATATCATATGAAATATTTAGAGTGATATTAGGGGCAAAACCGGGTTATTTTTGGGTGGTCAATTTAATGTAAATGCATAAAATTTGTGTGGTATGTGAATATCCCAAATTTGAAATATTCACAACTGAATTTCCCCCCAAGCTCATTCACCGTTGTCGTTTCTTCAGGGATCGGAGTGGGACTTTGGGGTTTTCTCCGGCCTCGTCGGCATCGAAAAGCCAGATCCAAAAATATACCAAATCGCGCTCGAGATGGCCGGAAACTTGCCGCCCGAGGAGGTTCTTCACGTCGGCGACAGCTTCCGAAAAGATTATCTTCCCGCTCGCAGTGTGGGCATGAGTGCTGTTCTGCTGGACAGATTCAAGACACCTGATGCAGAGGGCTGGAGGCAGTCGGGAGCTCCGGTGTTCCCAGATCTTGTGGCTGTTCAGAATTGGCTCACAAAGGCGGAAGAAATTTTGGCTGGTCAGCGAGCTTGATGATGATGATGATGAGAATTGAGAGGTGATGATTTTTAGTCCCAATAAATGTGGCTATCAAGCTCAGAATTTAGTTAGATGAATTGCAAGGATTGTGTTCTTTGCAGTGTTTGTAAAGTTTGGATTACTGCAAATTTCATTTCATAAATTTGGAGTAGGGGTATATCGATAAATAATTTACTTTTGGGGCATTTACATGCATACCATCCAATTCCTATGCATTTACATATCTAATATCTAAAGTGTATTTTTTTATATTTATATCAGATTAAAAGATGCTATTGTTTTAGATTTTTAAAATGCAAAATGCATCTTTTTATGCATAGATAAATAAGGTGGTATGCAGGTAAAAATTTAAGCTTAGGTGTTAGATATGTAAATCCATAGGAATTGAGTGGTATGCATGTAAAACTTCCTTTACCAAGATTTACATGCATACCACTCAATAATTATATGTTCTGGGACTAAAATTGCTCCAACAAAAGTCATGGGTCTATTTTGTCTTTTTTGAATTCACTATAATGCAATAGGAATGATTTGGGTTTGCATAAATGTGAAAATCCGACTTTAGGTGGTAGATATGTAAATACATTAAAAGGCGAATTTCACTTTTTAAAGATTTTAAGATGTTATCTTAATTAAAATTTGATCAGGATTTCCTCACCCAATTTATTATATTTGTGTAGATGCTCATAAAATTGTTGCAGGGGCAAAAGGCATTTGCTCGTTAAGGGTTTGTTTGGGGTAATTTGTGCGTTTCAGGATAAGCTGTTTATCCTGAAACGTGGCCCGCGGGGCGACCATGGGAGTCGACCCGCGGGTTGGGGTTTGGGTAGTGTAAAAACTCAAACTCAGTTTCGGATAAGCTGGCGAAAAACACGAACCAAACGGTACGGCGGCGTTTTAAAAATGTTGCCCGCACTTATAAGCTGCCCCAAACGGACACTAACTGCAAATGGTTTTTTAAACTTGTACTATTTCTTGCAGAACGAAATATATTATTTATTTCGGGATAAAATTTGATTGTCTTGAAATATATAAGTTTTCTTAGGAAGATTTGCATGCAACATCACTCAATCCCTTTGTTTTGATATGTAACATTTATACTTTAAATGAAAATATGTATTAATGATCTTTTGTTTTGATATGAAAATATGAGTGGTATAAAAGTAATATGAAAAATGGGAGTGGTATAAAAGTAAAATTATATTATTTAAATATATTAAAATAAATTTCATTTTTATTATGTCATTGAATCATCAGCCTCTCATTATTTTAACAAAATAAGACCTATTTATTATGTGAATTAAAAGAGCATAAGCACCAAAGTGCCAGCCACATGTTCAATTTTGTGAAATTTCTTGAAATTTTTTTTTTTATTTTTTATTTCTGTTACTTTTGAGGGCTTCGATCGAATATTTTTCATAAAATCTTTAAAGCCCTAAAATTGGCATACATTATTACATAAATACTACAAAATTCCTATATATTTATATATCTAATAGTTAAACTTTAATTTATTCTTTATAGCACTTAAAATTTTCCATTATTAATTTTTTTTTAATAAAATATTTTTTTTCATTTTTAATTTATGACATCAAAATGACATCAATATAAATAACATTTTTAATTTAATTTATTTTTCCCCTCTCTCTCTCTCTCCCTCTCTTTCTCTCTTATAGGATTTGGCTTGACCTTGCTTGGCTGTGGCTTGTTTATAACAAGCCATAAGAGACTATTTATATAAACTAGGAGAGCGGTAGGTGGGAGGTGGGTATGATGTGGTAGGTGAGCGGTAGGTGGGAAGGTAGGTACGGTAGATGAGAAGGTAGGTGAGCGGTACGTGAGATTCTTAATTAGGAAGCTAATTAAATTGCGGTGGACCGAGTCTCCATATTACCCAACACCGATGACCGCCGAAATCTGTCTATTATTCTTCACCATTTCACAGCATACGGGAAATTGATGACCAAGCCTGAACTAACCTCGATAACAACAAATCTCATGATCATAGTAGACATTATTGATAACTTCGTCTCCCCACACATGCCTCATAACCATGACATTGTCAAGAACATAAGTCGCCCGCACTTTTACCACCGCCGTGTTGTCCATCAGCGATCCCTTTGAAAACCTAGTCGCTAGAAACACCACATGAAATGACAAATGAAGCTTCTAAATAAACCGAACGTGATTATCAAACATCAATATCCTCCTCCTCAATGCACATTCCCAAAGAGACAAATGACGCACAATTCAATCAGTTATATACTCTTATTTAACACAGGAAGGGATAACAACAAAGAAGAAAATGAGCCGACGTTCCAACAAAAAATTGAACGCGCTATTATATATCAAAAGCGATTACACAACAAAGAGTTATGTGAAGTAAAAGTTGGATTGATGGACAGAGAAGAGCTAAAGTCCCCAGGTGAAGAGCAATCCAAGCCTGACAGCAGATGGAAAGATTATTTCCTACAAGAGAACTACGATCGTAAGTGAGAAAAAGTCATGACTAGATGTTGGTGGCTTGGTTCCTCTCCTAACTTTAGACCAGAACAAAAACACAGTCGATCCAAACCACATTTTGAGATCATCACAGATACATCAATATTGTCCCGCGATTCGGCTCTCAAAAAATGCCAAAAACTTGTGAAAAATTATCGTACAACTTTGCAATTACATATCATGAGAAGAGTGCACTAAATAACTAATGAAATGAGAAACAAACATCTTTTATTTTCTTATTCTTTTTGCATTAACTTATTGAAGGAACAAGTTCTCTAAATGTATACAAAAATTCAGCTTTTTTAGACACCAAGTCTCACGGGTCCAATAAGCCCATCAACTTAGAAAATACAACCACCACCGGCATGATCTGCCGACTTTACTCACCGATATGACATCTATTATATACTAGCCGTCGAATTGACCTAGCAAACTGACCTCACAAAATCACATAGCGAACTAATCAATTGACCTCATCTGCTCTGCTTACTTTCCTGAGATCCTAAGAGATTACAAAATATAAAAGTAAAGACCGACATAAAAAATTGATGTATGTCACATCCTAATTTATGAGTCATCTAACATCCACATCGCAGTCATTACATCAAGTACAATGAACAGACTTTGTAACTACAACTCATATTTTAATATCCATCTCTTTTATAAAGAGAGAGATCGATCGACTCGATTAGGGAGAGAGATCTTTTTAGAGAGGTTTCACTCCGTAATTTTTTTTAAATTTTCTTGCTTCTTTTTAGATCACCACTTCCTCTCTTTTGGGATAAGGACCATCATACAAGCATATAATACATGCCTAAATAATACATCTATTTTCTTTATTCACTCTCTTTACACAAGTTTATTTCATATTATATATATATATCGTGATCCATCATTTGACAGAGTTTGTAAAACCCTTGGGGTCACGGATTCGATCTCGTCTATGTGCCTAATTAAATTCTTAGGGATGTGAAATTGATCGAAAGGCCCGTCTAATAGCTGTAGCCAACCTTTTATACTTATATATATATATATA